AGAGAGAGAGAGAGAGAGAGAGAGAGAGAGAGAGAGAGAGAGAGAGAGAGAGAGAACAACACAAAGCTCAAGTCCAAAAGCCAACCAGACTTGCACATCCCACAGGCCTCCCAGGCAGTCCTCTTTCGTAACTCAGTTTCCTGGTCTATATACAGGTAAACTGTCAAGTAACTTTTGTCCTCATTAACTGGATGGAGATGGTGAGTACGAGTAAGTGAGGCACACACAGTGACCTCATGAGTTTGGTTCTTCTGATGTGCTTTGGAGGGCCTGGCTCCTTGATATGCTAAATCAAAATAATCAAGCATGCACCAAGTTGACCAATTTTCTCTGCTGAGTAAGCCCCACATAATCCTCTTGTTAAAAGAAAGTTTTGTGTGCTAGATGGGGACAGGACTCTAGCTCGAGTTCATCCATGAACATTAGGAAAAACTGTGTTACTGTTTGGGTTTTTGTTTTTTGTTGTTTTTTTGGTTTGTTTGCTAGTTACCAACTGTGACTGATGGTCTTCAAAATTCCTTGCAGGGCAAGAAACTTGATGCAGTAGAAAAGGGTGGTTTGTTGCAGAGGCAACATTAAGACCCTCATTGGCCCCCTAAATTCCTATTTCCCACTCTTCTTCCCTTCAGAGGAAGCCTGTAAACCACTTTTTGTTTGAGCAGAAATCAGTTGAAAGCAATCAGTGTGGCCTGACCCCAGCTCTCTACCACAGCAGGAATTTGGAGACCCAACTATCTTGTCATGAATTCTGTAGAGGTCAGGAAATGACACAAAGAACCAGGAACTTAGGCCTTTCCTGGTGCCGTTTCTCACAGGAAATCCTCCTAGCCCCCTGAACTCAGACACCCAGCACATCCTTGCTGGAGATAAGCAGTGATTCAGTCCCTTTTCTTTGCCTCATTGTGGGCAGCCAGAAACCGTGGGAAGAAATCATAAGAGAGGAAGTCTGTTCACAGGTGATCCTTTATGCCTGTACCAGCTCACAGAATAGGAAACCCTGGGTCCTTGATGTAGAATCATCACTGAGCTGGCTGTCACCTATCTACCTGACATCTAAGAGATGTGGCCACTACTGGCCTGCATCCACAGTCCATAGACCATTCCTGGAGCCCTAATCCTGACCATCAGAAACCACTAGTCCATCACTTTTCCCCTCAACTGAGGCCCTGAAGCAGCAGTCTGAGGGACGTCAGCAGCCCTAGGTAGTCAACAGGCTATCCTACAGACAG